AGGTATGGCTGCTGCAGCACTGCATTCAAAAGTGCAGGCAGAGGAGTAAGTGGCAGTGCCCGTTTATAATCGGCTAAATTCAGGAGTTCCTAGCAAGGAAACAAGAGGCTTGGATTCTAGGCTCTCCTCAGTTTGAAGGGCTCAGACCCACAGCAAGTGGCCTTAACCAGCCTGAACCACCGTGTAGCAAAAGATGCAATATGCATAAGAGCAGAAAGAGACAGAAAAACAAGATGGAACTGACTATAGTCCAGCAAAGACACTCCCCTGAGAGGGGGAGTCTTGGACTCTGGTGCCTGCTCCCATGACTACTTATTTTTCATCAAAGTGTCACTGGATAAACATTTTAACATTTAAAATGTTACAATAAATAATCCACTCACCTCTGAGTCCTCTGCACTTTCATAGTCTGAGAGAACAGCTACAGGAGAGAAAACAGAAGTTTGGCATTAAAGCTGTCAGATAATGACACACACTGCAGGAAAGAGTCATTTTGGAGCAGGGACACTTAGAAAAGTCAGGTGTCTACTGTATACACACATTAAGCAGTCAAGCCACAAAATCACGCAACTAGCCCTTATACCATCTCCCTGCTGAAGGCATAAGCCATCATCATAAACTGCATCCAAGTAGCAAGATCAGCTTTAGAAATCCCTCCTGCATGATATATTTGCCCATTGCTGTTATAAGTCAACATTTAAGATGCTGATATAACTGAAACACTAGAGCAGCAAGTCTCAACATTTTTGGATGCGAGCTATCCTTCAATCAACTTGAGGCACACTTCAGAAAATGCCAGTTCTAAGTTTTCACTCATTTTCAGACTACAGAAAAATAATGATAGACAATTCTTCTGTTTTGAGTTCCTTGAAAGACCACAATAGGGCAAAATGTTTTAAATGCTATGGATTCCTCTTGGAAGTCTCTGGGTTTACCTTGTAAATCATGTTTGCAAGTCTAACAGTGCATAAACTGCATTGCGCTTGGCAGCACCCTTGAAAGATGTCAAGGCACCTTGCTCTTCCCCCAAATTAATTTTCTCTGTGCCTTGGCAGTAACATGATGCAGCAGTCCATGTAGTCATTCCCTCTGTGTGGGCAGCTTATTCTTCAGATCCAAGGGGACTGGCTTCCATGATGACAGGAAAGTGAGATCACAGATCTATGCACAGCTTCCCCTCAGACTCACTGAGCACAAGCAGGGAACACATCCAGTATGTATTACTTCTGTACAGCTCAAGAGCACTCCTGTCAGTCTGCCAATGTCCAAGACAACCAGGAAATCATTGATGCAAAAAACCACTGGCCTATGAGTAATCTTAGAATCAAGATATAAACCTCTAAAATTAAAGTGTTTGAGAGATTTTTCCCAGAAGGCAGACACTGAAAAGAAGAGCACAGCAATAGGACCTAGCAAGCCTGGTCACCATGTTAATCTTGACTTACTGCAGGAGACACAAAGACAACAAGTCTTTGAGAATGGCTTATTTTTTCAAAATTAATAATCCTATACTTTCCTTTTTCCCCTCCCTGCCCTCCCAGATCAAAGACACTTGTTACTCACCATCTCCTTCGATGCCATCTTCACTTTCCTATCGACAGAGGGGGAGAAAAACAAACACGTTATTGGGAATATCATGACCGTGGGAACTGTTTGCGGTCTTGTTTATTGTGCATGATCCTGCAAGACAACTAGGTAAATATCCAGCTAGTGGTAGAGAGAAACTTGTGCTCATGGTACAGGTCAGCACCTTCGAAAAGGGAGGCATAAGAAAGGTATACAGAAAGCTAAATTCAGATCAGTAAGAAAAACACATAAATCTATGGCTGTACAGTATTAATCCCCCAAACACTTACAACACTAAGGGAGCTTCAACTCCCCAATACATTAAAAAAAATTCTGTAAAGAGGAGGAATTTGCCTCTACAGACAGAAAGGATGGACTCCCTTAATCAATATAGACCACCTGTTCAGAAAATGATATGGAGGATTATTTAAAAACTGGGAGCTGTGGAAAAGCCAACTGATACAGAGAAGCATGCAGCTGAGACACACCTCTGCTGCAGAGGTCAATAATAGAAGTGTAACTTTGCATCTAGCACAGGAAGGGACAGAACTGGAGAAATTCAGACCAGAGGCAAAGTGCAGGGAAGAAAGAGTATCAGACTATGGAGTTAAATAAAAATAGGTTTGTACTGAAAATAAAAACTGCCTGCATAGTGAAGTAAAAACCAGGCAAATCAGCAGCCCTGACAACAGAAGAGATACTTGAAACAAGAACTATTAAAATGCGGTGGACTAGCAAAGTGCAGTGGTAGTACAAGGCTCTCAGTTGCACAGGAAGGACAGTTGGCCTGGAGAGGTCGGAGCATAGCACCATCCCAAAGGAGCCCATCACATTCTACTGGAAAAGGGGAAGAGAAGCACAAGCCCCACCCCTACCTATTTTACCACTGGCCTCAGCCAGGAAAAGATACCACAATCGCAAATAAGAAACGGCAAGTGCGTCAAAAGCAAAAAGCCAGAAGAACTAGCAGGTCCACTGAAAGCTCAAGAAAGGCAGAAGAGGTGTTTATAGCTAAGCCTCGTGGCCCCTGAAACCTATCAAACAACTTGGGATTCATGGGGCTGACAGGGGCTTTGAAGTCACAAGATTTAATTTCAACGCTATTTTGTTTGGCATTGATTTCTGACCAAATCAATCCCACCAGTCCCAACTGTTTCACAATTTTTAAATCATGAATTAAGGGTTAAGCAATATATATAGCATCTGATCTATTGTCTTGATGCTCTGATGAAGAGTTACTCACTTGCTGCAGAATGTTAAAACAGCAGTAACCTAATCAAGCTGAAGTTATTAAATTAGAAGGCCAGCCCCAGGCCACCTCCTGAGCAACTTGCACATACAGATTCTTGTTGCCACAGCAGCAAGGGTGTGACTAAAAAAGGATCATCTGTAGCTCTACTTTCTAGTTAGCCCAATAATTATTCTGACCATAATCTGCTATAATGGAGACATGCAAAAAGGGTCACTGGGCTCCTGTGGCCTGTTAGTTCCTCCCTACTTGTTTAATAACCAGGGTTTAGTCATTTCTTTGGTGTCTGCAGACAGTCTGGAGCATACCACAGCAAATGCTAGACACAAATCCTAAAATAAAAACACTTTGGATTTCCCCTAGAACAAAGCCTTTTACTCTGGGATCCTACAAGACCATCATTCCACCCTAAGTACCTGTGAAGAATTGAGGTGGTATTTTTTCCTGAGGTCACCCGGGGCTAATTGAGTTAATCACCATTCAAACCATACATCAATTTAATCTGGGATTGATTAGTCTGAGATCTGACTCCCATCAAAAAAGAGGTGGGACAATGATTTAATTCGAATAAACCACACTGTTCTGGGGCAAACTATTAATCTGGATATTTTCCAGGTACATATTCATTCATGGTAACAGAAAAGTAAGGCTGGAAGGGATCGCCAGAGGTCATTTAGTCCAGTGGTTCTCAACCGTCTTTGCACCAGGACTGATTTGTAAACATTGATGGTCAGTCCCAAACCAGTGCCCCTCACTCCGCACCCACTGCCTCCTACCCCCCCAATGTGTGGGGCATGGGGGACCCCAAGCAGCCCAGACCTCTGCCACCCAGCAAAGTAAAAGCCACTGTTTCCCACGTTTTTCTCCTTTAAAGGAGAGTCCTTTTTTGCAGTTTGTTTGAGAAATGTTGATCTCCTCCCACACCCTGCCTGAGGCAGGATCACCCCTATACAAACCATCATCTAAACTCTGCATAAGACCCAGGGTGCAACATTAGGGAAAAAAAAACCCTGTGTGAAGGAAGTATCCAACAACCAGCACAGCACTTAACCGAAAGTTGCAATCTTTATAAATTCCCAGATGGGTAAATGGAATCTGCACATCGAGCAATAACACCAGACAGCCGCTAATGGATCTGCACGTTGATAGCTGTTGCCAGACGGAAGAAGAGAAGATACCAACCCAAGGCTTTTAACGATCTGGGTAGACAAAGCCTTGGCTGGGATGATCTAGGTGGGGCTGGCCCTGCTTTGAGCAGGGGGCTGGACTAGATGTCCACCAAGGTCCCTTCCAGGCTGAGTTTTCTATGGCTCAATGCCAAGGGGCTCGTCTGCAAAGGGCTGGGGTATGCTGCAAAATAAACCTGCTCAACTCAAGAGGCATGGAGGAGAACACCTCTTCCCGTGGGACAGTGGGGGCTGATTCGAGCTTGCTGTCGGCTAGCGGGGACGTCCAAGCCTGGTCTGGGCCCCCTGCCTAGGCAGGGGTCGGAGCTGGCACCATCTTCACGCCTGCGGCAATGCCGTGCTCGGCTCAGCGCCCCCGACAGCT